CGAGGAGCCTCATGAATTGTGGAGGGGAATAGAGTCCTTCTTTGCCCTGGGGACCAGGGAACTCGGCTGGGCAGATGCAAAAGCCATTCATGGTCCCTGATTCTGGGCACTTGGAGGCTGCATTCTGCTCATCAAGAATTTATTTAAAGCCCTCACATTTGCACATGGTGCTATCCTGGGGTGGCTAAAAAAGTTGTATATATCTATTCATTGCCTGCAAGTATCTTATAAGATAATACTGTAAGGTAATAATAGGAAGCCATGTATGACAACTATAGCAGAGAAATGCTTATCTGAAACGTCAAGTATTAAAAAGGATCTGGTATATTTTTCAAATGACCAGAAAGCCAATCCTGATTGTGTCCAGCTTTGGAGCTCTTGGGAGGCTGGGTGGGATGGGGAGAACTCCTTCGGAACCCACCAGGAAGAACCTCTGAGCTTAGGCCCCCCAGTGGGATCCAGTGCTGACGTAGCTTATGAGCTGAGAGGGAAATGTGAAAATCCCCATGAGCTTCCTGTTCTGATGTCTTGCCTGCAGGTCAGGGTGTCGACTCCCTGGCTGCAGAGTCTCACCAGAGCCTGCGGTGTGGTGGATGAGGCTGTCTTGGTATGCCCTGACCTGAGCTCACGGTCCCTCCAGACCTTGGCCCTGGAGACAGAGTGGGAGTTGAGGCAGATCCCGCTGCAGGTGAGAGGACATGTACCCTGATGCGAGGCATTGCTTTTGCTGCTTAGAAAAGCCTTTCTCCCAGTGTCACTGCTTCCTTCCTGAGGCTTAGCAGCCCTTGGGAGGTCAGGCCTCTGGCTGAACTGGTATGAGAGGAAATGGGCCACTCTCCTCTTTGGATAACCTGAATGGGAGCTTCTGGAGCCACATGCCGTGGCCTCGATACCCTCGCTGGCAAAGTGGGGCAGAGGCTACCAGCCTGGGATGATCAGTGACTTGTCTGCTTCTGGCCTTTATCCTTTTTCTTCTTGTCTCCCAGTCTCTTGACCTAGAATTTGCAAGTGAATTCCAACCCCGGGTCCTGCCTACACAGCCCAACCCAGTGGATCCTACTCGGGCCCAGTTCTTCCTGCAGCTGTCTCCAAGCCACTATGCACTGCTGCACTACCACCACGGCGTCCTGAGTCTGCTCAAAAACTTCCCACAGGTAACGGGAGGCAGCGTGGTTCGCTAGGATTCAGGAGGATCTAGCTGAGATATGGATGCTAGAAATCCCTGCCTTTGAATCTGGAGATATTTACTCAAGCAAGAAGACATCTTTCCATGAGTGGTTTTAGAGGGGTTAGCCTTAGAGCAGAAGTGGAATTTTTTCTTTTTTTTTCCTGAGAATTACAGATTATTAGAGTAGAACTGGCCCCTTCCTAAGTCCATAGGAGAGTGGGCATGTTAATCAGAGCTTCCCTATCAATACTAAGGGCAGCGTGGGATGCAGGATTCACCTGTGCCTGTGTTGGAGGTCGGCAAGAGGGCTGTGTTCAGCTGTGGCTGCAATGGGGCCTCCCCCTGCTCTCAAATGCCCTGGCCATTATGCTCTGAAGATGGGAGCATTTTCAACTCCAAGGCCAAGGGTCCTTCCTGTGGAGGTGACTTAGAGAAGCTGCTGGCTAGGACAGGCCCTATTTAGGAGTTGACACCTTGCTTTATCCCCAGACTGCCCTAGTGAGCTTTGCCACCACCGGGGAGAAGACGGTGGCTGCAGTCATGACCTGTCGGAGTGAGGCGGTGAGTATTGGGAATAACAGCACGTGGGGTTTTCCTTCCTTATCTTTGCTAGGAGCTCTGAGAACCAAAAGTCTGGGCATATTCACCTAGGCAGTTTGAACCCGGGGGCAGGAGGCTGTTGAGCAATAATATCTCACCTCATCTGTAGGGCTTTCTGTACATCTTCTTTGTCCCCAGGAATGGGACGACCTCATGTTCATCTGGGACTGTTCAGGGTTGTGTAGGCTTTGTGAGCAGAAATGGGAAATGGGATTTGCCTTCTTCCAAGGGCTGAGAAGGCATAGGAGTGAAAGCTTCGTTTTGGTGACCAGGAAGTGACCCTTTGGCTGAATTTTCTCCTTTTTTCCTTCTCTTTTCCCTAGCAGAAGCCTAGCAGTTCTGAAGATGGGTCAACGGGGAGCTTTTCGGAGAAGTCTGGTCCACAGGTAAGGTGTGGCGTTGGGCAGCGTGCCAGGCCAGAGACACAGGAGGCCCCCAGTGAAGCTGGGGGAGCAGCCAGGGCTGTGAGCAGGTCTCCTGAGTCCTCAGCCTCCAATGGGCTTTGCTAAGTTCAGCAAATTAAACCATGTTTCTCTTGGTCTTTTTTAGTTGGGAGATTAGAGAGTAGAATCCCTAGAATCTGTTCTTAACTACTTTCTCCTCTGGGCCTCCATCTCTCCATGTCTTGTGGGGTCTGGCTGGTGGAGTTGAGTGGTAGTCTGACAGTTGCACTGAAGCAGAGTGTGGGACCCTGGCCAGAGTCTCCAGTTTCTGCTGTGGTTTCCACCTCCTAAGTGTTTCCTGAGGGGGTTGTGATTTCCCTGCCTACAGTCTTACTAACTCTTTGGGAAGTCTTTGCTACACTGTACTGGCTTCCTTCTGGAGCAAGTATGTATAGCGGTTACAATGTTTTAAATTTACTCAGACACCTTATTTCTGCCTCAGGACTTAGCTTTTCTGTTCTATGTCGCTTGGTGTACGTTTCCTCTTCTGGCCTGGGTCCTTCTCCAGGGTATTTGCTCGCCCCGCCCAGATTCTTGGACTTCCTTTTGGGGGATCCCCATAGTTGACCCTTGCTGTCTGTACCCTAGGACTCGCTGGCTTGCTTCAACCAGACCTACACCATTAACCTCTACTTAATGGAGACAGGTCGGCGGCTGCTCGACACCACAATCACCTTTAGCCTGGAACAGAACGGCACTCGGCCAGAGCGGGTGAGTCAGGGCTTGTGGGCTTCTCAGCCTGGGGCTTTCTTTCATTGGGGTCACTTCACAGCCATGGGTCCCAGAGTAGGATTCTCTGGACGTGGGCTCTAGTTCTACCTGAGCCACTGACTGTGAATAACAGTAAAAGCAGGTACCATTTAAGCCAAGTTGTCGGTGCGCCAGGCTCCGCGCTATGCTGTTTTGCTTACACACTGCTTGATTTAACCCTCTCAACAGCCATGTGGTTATTACTGCCCTCATTTTATTTATTTATTTTATTTTTGCCGTACGCGGGCCTCTCACTGCTGCGGCCCCTCCCGTTGCGGAGCACAGGCTCCGGACGCGCAGGCTCAGCGACCATGGCTCACGGGCCCAGCCGCTCCGCGGCATGTGGGATCTTCCCGGACCGGGGCACGAACCCATGTCCCCTGCATTGGCAGGCGGACTCTCAACCACTGCGCCACCAGGGAAGCCCTGCCCTCACTTTATAAGCGAGGAAACGGCCTCGTGAGATTCAGGACCCTATCCAGAGTCGCTGCCCGGCGTTGCCTCTGCGCACGTTCAGTGGTGTTCCTCAGCCTCTCTGGGCTGTGTCTTCTTTGCCTCTAAAACGGAAAGTCTAATCCAGGCCTCCTGCTCGCTTTGTGGGGTGTTATCGGTGCAAGATGAATGATGTGGTGGCCGAGAGCGCTCAGGTTCCTTCATGGAGGGGGCCTGAGCTAGCGCCCAGCATGGTTGCTGTGTCAGCTCCTAAGAATACGTGATGTCTAATTGGAGTCCAGGTAAAAGCTGTATTGTTTGGACATCCAGTAATGCTGTGACCTAGGCTTCGGACAGCTCCTCATGCTTTGAATCTTGGGGTCTGGTGCTCTGAGAGGCATCTGGCTTCTTGCTGACTGCAGTGGGCTTGACTGTTTGGTTTATAGATGCACATCCAGGTCTTCCTGAAGAAGGACGACTCTGTGGGCTACCGGGCCTTGGTACAGACGGGGGATCACCGGCTAATTTTCCTGCAGCAGCTGGGTGAGTGGACCTCATCAACCCTTTTTTTTTTTTTTTAGGCCTGCCCATGAGTTCCATTCAGACTCTTTATTTGGGGCTGTGGACAGGCGTCTGAGAAAGATTCAAGTGGAGTGTATCCTGAATATTTTTTTCCAGAGCCACATGTCACCTGCCTTTGAAAAATTCCTTAGCATTCTTGGGAGACAGAACTTCCCTCACTTGACCTCCTGATTCCGGCCCCTTGCCCTGCCATTTCTCTTTTTGGCACAAGAGGTGTGGTGGTCCCTGAGTCACCGAGAAGAGTCCCTTCAGGGCATGAGTTCCATTCAGACTCTTTATTTGGGGCTGTGGACAGGCGTCTGAGAAAGATTCAAGTGGAGTGTATCCTGAATATTTTTTTCCAGAGCCACATGTCACCTGCCTTTGAAAAATTCCTTAGCATTCTTGGGAGACAGAACTTCCCTCACTTGACCTCCTGATTCCGGCCCCTTGCCCTGCCATTTCTCTTTTTGGCACAAGAGGTGTGGTGGTCCCTGAGTCACCGAGAAGAGTCCCTTCAGGGGACGAGGGAGGTGGGCCTGACTTTTGTAACCTTGGTTTCTGCAGCAGGGAGGGTGGTGTTGTGGAGCCGCGAGGAGTCCCTGGCAGAGGTCGTGTGCCTGCAGATGGTGGACCTCCCCCTGACGGGGGCGCAGGCCGAGCTGGAAGGGGAATTTGGCAAGAAGGCAGGTATGGACTGAGGGGCCTGGGAAGCAGAGCTGCCGGTGCGGGTGCTCTGGGACTGGGCTTGGTAGTTGCACCACAGGAGAGGCTGTCTCACGTGTCCCTGGCTTCCTGGATGCACCTGTTGTGCCAGTCTGTTCTGAACTAGCTCTGTGACCAGTTTCTGGTGTGTTTGTGGCCCTATGGTTTATGTAACCATTCTTCTATCTGAAAGGAGTGACCTGTGACTCCCTCTAGGGAAAGGTCCTGATGAAAAAGAATCTTAACTTAGTGTAGTAATAGCTCCCCTTGTTTGGGTACCTAAGATCTGCCAGGCACCATGTCAGGCACTATATACCCATTGTCCCCAGAGCAACAGTCACACCTTTCCAGAGAGCATGACTGGGCTGGTCAGTTACTGTGGTAATAGGCCGGTGCCCTCTGAGACCAGCCATGGTCCCAGCACCCAGGATGAACTCGGTTCACTCTCCTCTGATTGAGTCCTGTCCCCTCCGCCCTCCATCCGTTCGTCTAGCTAGCCAGGTGGTGTTTACTGAGGGCCTGCTCTGGGCCAGGCACCCTGCTAGGCACTGCAGATTTTCTTAAACCGAGGATTAATTTGACTTTACTATTTATTTCCGCTGCCTGGATCCAGCCATTCAAGGTAAAACCTGCTTCCTGCTGCCTTTTTGCTCATTGCCTGCCCACACGGCTAGCTTTTGGTTAATTATTTATTTTCCCTGACTTGCATGAATGAGGTATATACCGTGTGTGTGGGGACTGCTATGCCTGTGACTTGTCCTGTTTGCCTCTCACTTCCCTTCCTTGAGCTGAGGTTAATGGAAAAGCGGATAAGCAAAGACATTGCTCCTTTTCAGTGAGCACTTACCCTGTACCCCACCCTTTGGGAAATCCTGTGTGTACATCATGTGGTCTAATCTTGGCAACAGCCCGGTGGATTACTTGCCATTTTACAGATGAGGAGCCAGAGGCTAAAAGGTTAAGTACATTTCTCCAGGTCATCCAGGTGGTAAGAAGTGGAGCTGGGATTTTAATCCAGGTCTGCCAGACTCCAGGGGCCATGCTTTTTACCATGCTACCTTGCTCTGGGGACCAGTCTAGTCTCTGGAGGAGACTTGAGGGTGGCAGCCTCATGGATGGAGGAAGGGGTGGAGTGAAAGAGAGCCCTGGGAATGGGTTGAAAGTAGGTTAGATGGGTGCAGACTAAACCGTTGACAGCGTAGGCCTAAAGCAGCGAGAAATGGAAGTGCCTGTCCGTGACACAACACACACCTGCACCCTGGTACCCCCGCACCCCGCCCTCTTCCGGCTTTGTCATGGCGCCCGGAAGCCTCCCTCTGGCCGTTCTAGATGTGGGGTTGTGGTGGAGTCACTCACAGCATGGCTGCATCCTGCATGGCTGATCCCTGCCCTCTTAGTCTCCTATTCCAAGATTTCAGGCAGGTGAAGTGCTGAGAGCCAGGTGAGTAGGTTTTTGGAGTTCCTGCATGGCTGTGTCTAAGTGTGAGACTGTTGGCGTCAGCCACAGGACTGCCCCTTGGGCTTGTGGCCTGGGGTGTGGATGACTCGAGTGCTCCACAAGAGAGGGAGAGAGCCCTCCTTAGGAAGAGGAGGTGCCCCCTCGCTGGAAACACCTAGTCTGATGGGGAGTGAGCCTCAGCTGCGTTACCTTTTCCTTGACACCAGACGGCTTATTGGGCATGTTCCTGAAACGCCTCTCGTCCCAGCTCATCCTGCTGCAGGCATGGACCTCCCACCTCTGGAAAATGTTTTACGATGCTCGGAAGCCCCGGAGTCAGATTAAGAATGAGATCAACATTGACACCCTGGCCAGGGATGAATTCAACCTGCAGAAGATGATGGTGATGGTGACGGCCTCAGGCAAGGTGAGAGGGGCTTAAGCCAAACCTCCTGAGGTTTTGGGAGTGGGGACCAAAAAGCCTTTGAAAGGGGATTGTGCCCGTTCTAGTTTTCAAGGATAGAGCTAGTTTTGGGGTTTGCCTTTCTGGTAGTGAGCCAGGTATTTATTTTGCAGCTTTTTGGCATTGAGAGCAGCTCTGGCACCATCCTGTGGAAACAGTATCTCCCCAGCGTAAAGCCAGACTCCTCCTTTAAACTGATGGTCCAGAGGACTACTGCCCATTTCCCACACCCACCCCAGTGCACCCTCCTGGTGAAGGACAAGGTGAGGCCGCTACCTCTCATCTGAGCCAACGTGGGTGTGGTTTTTGGTGTTTTGTAACTTAAGTTCCTCCTAGGCCTTTGGAATTCTCTGAGAGTTAAAGGCAGGGAGTCAGGGCTTAGAGCTCTGTTTCTTCCAGTTTTTTGCCTGAGTGGAGGACCGTCCGGGGCCCATGTGGAAGTGACTGTAGGGTAGGTGTGACATCACCAGGTCCCTAGTAAGCCAGCTCCGCTTCTTCCCAGGCACGGGCGGCTGTCGGTACCTGAATGGCTGCTTGCTCTTCTCCAGGTGTTGGAGGGCAGGACACAAAACTGTTTATGTCTCTGACTCCCGGGAGCAGATGGCTTTTTGTAGATTCATTCTGCCATCATCAGAAAGGGGACTTGCAGGGAGGGTGGGATGAATTGGGAGACTGGGATTGACATATATTCACTATTGATACTATGTATAAAATAGATAACTAATGAGAACCTACTGTACCACACGGGGAACTCTACTGAAGGCTCTGTGCTGACCTAAACGGGAAGGAAATCCGAAAAAGAGGGGATATATGTATACGTATAGCCGATTCACTTTGCTGTACAGTAGAAACTAACACAACATTGTAAAGCAACTATACTACAATAAAAATTAAAAAAAAAAAAAAGAGAGGGGACTTGGTAGATAGTCTCTGGGATGGCTGCCATGGGGCTGCTGAGTTGGTCCTTGACTTTTTTGTTTATTCCTCAGTGTGACCCATTCTTGCTTAGCTTTGGGGCTAGAGGCAGTTAAATTTTTTTTTTTTTTTTTTTTTTTTAATTTTTTTGGCTGTATTGGGTCTTCGTTGCTGCACACGGGCTTTCTCCAGTTGTGGCGAGCGGGGGCTACTCTTCGTTGCGGTGCGTGGGCTTCTCACTGCGGTGGCTTCTCTTGTCACAGGGCACGGGCTCTAGGCACACAGGCTTCAGTAGTTATGACACACGGGCTCTAGAGCACAGGCTCAGTAGTGTGGCACACGGGCTTTGTTGCTCCGTGGCATGTGGGATCTTCCCAGACCAGGGCTCGAACTCGTGTCCCCTGCATTGGCAGGCTGATTCTTAATCACTGCGCCACCAGGGAAGTCCCAGAGGCAGTTAAACTTTTACTCTTTTGACACATCAGCCTTCAGACACTTTCACCTTTAGCCAAGACTTTATTTTCCACAAGGAGGGCAAAGACTAGGGAATCTGCCATAACTGAGCTCAAGTCCCAGCGTTCCAGGTTTACCCCTAGGATTCGCATTCTTTTCATGTTGCTGGAGGCTGACCGTTTGCTTGCCCATTTCAGAAGACGGGAATGAGTTCGCTCTATGTCTTCAATCCCATTTTTGGGAAGTGGAGTCAGGTGGCCCCCCCAGTGCTGAAGCGCCCCATCTTGCAATCTTTGCTTCTCCCCATCATGGATCAAGACTATGCCAAGGTGCTGCTGTTGATAGATGATGAGTACAAGGTATGCCGTCTGCAGACTGGCTGCAGAACTGCCTAGCCAATCAGGTGTGGGAGCGGGGTGCTCAGACAGCGGCTCGAGGGCCCCAGGTGGGAGCCGTCTGCCGTCAGCACTCATTTGGGCTTGAAGGGCATCTCTAAGCGACTCGATTGCTCTTTCTGCACTTGTGAAAGCTCGGACTCTTAACTCACTTTAAGCCCTGATGGAGTTCAGTAGACTTTAATTCTTTAAAGATTTGCTGTTTTTTTCCTTAAAGCCCTCTTTGACAGGAAACAGTAATGAGTCTGGAGAAACTGTGCTTAGAGATTCCTTTTCCCTTAACTCTTTTCTGGGGTTTTCAAGGTCACAGCTTTCCCGGCCACTCGGAATGTCCTGCGACAGCTCCATGAGCTCGCCCCTTCCATCTTCTTCTATTTGGTGGACACGGAACAGGGACGGCTGTGTGGCTATCGACTTCGAAAGGTAGGAGGGGGCATCCTGGCACGCCCCTTTGTGGGAGGGGTGTAGGTGTTTCCTCGTTATTTGGCTAAGGAGTGAATTATGCTATTCATTGTGTTGTAAACTTAGAGAGCATAATCCTGATGTCAAAGGCAGTCATTTTCATCTGTTCCATGGCAGGCACAGTTCTAGCTGCCGTGGAAGGAGCAGTGCACAACAGTCTCTGCCCCTGTGGAGCTTTCATTCCTCATTCCTCTTCTATAGCAGGGAGAAGGGGCGTTTTCTCCATTCCTAGAAAGGCGGGAGGTAGGAATGGTGATTGAACAATAGTACTTTCTATATGAAGATGGTGTTACTGATCCACTCTTTTTTTTTTTCTTTCATTTTTCTTTTTTTAAATTTTTGGCTGTGTTGGGTCTTCGTTGCTGTTCCTGGGCTTTCTCAAGTTGAGGCGAGCAGCAGCTACTCTTTGTTGCGGTGCGCGGGCTTCTCACTGCGGTGGCTTCTCTTGTTGCGGAGCACGGGCTCTAGGCGGCGTGGGCTTCAGTAGTTGTGGCACGTGGGCTCAGTAGTTGTGGCTTGCGGGCTCTAGAGTGCAGGCTCAGTAGTTGTGGCGCACGGGCTTAGTTGCTCCACGGCATGTGGGATCTTCCCGGACCAGGGCTTGAACCCGTGTCCCCTGCATTGGCAGGTGGATTCTTAACCACTGTGCCACCAGGGAAGTGCCTATTGATCCACTCTTGATTGAATGTGTGCTTTGAATTTTATTTCTAGAAGTGGGATCGACTTACTCCGATCCTGACATACTTAACCACTGGCCACCAGGGAAGTGCCTATTGATCCACTCTTGATTGAATGTGTGCTTTGAATTTTATTTCTAGAAGTGGGATCGACTTACTCCGATCCTGACATACTTGAGTCCAGTGCTTGCAAACAGTGATTCACACTGGCTCTGAAGTCCAGCTCTGAGCTTCACAAGGGCTGGCCTTGGCTCCGATAGCAGGGCTGTGTAGAGGGGTAATTTGTGGCATACTCCCCAGAGGGCCCTCCCATCCTGTCTCTAAGGCTCCATGTTGGGCCTCAGGATGGCCCTCCCATCCTGTCTGTAAGGCCTTTGGAGGGACACCACAGCCTAGAGGTTAAGAGCTTGGACCTGGCTGCTTGTGCGGAAACCTAGTTTTATTTATCACTTACTCATTTTGTGTCCTTGGGCAGATGACTTCTCTCTGATCCTGTTTTCTCGTCTATAAAACAAAATGGTACTAGTACCATATCAGAGGGTTGTTGTGAGGAGTTGGAGAGTTAATACATGTAAGTCACATAAAGCAGTGCCTGCTACATAGTAAATGCCATCCAAGTTTTACCTGCTGCTGTTTAAAAAATGCAGTGTCCTTTCCTGACATTCTGTAATGGCTAATCTTTAGCGTAAATAGCATAGTCTGTCCAGAAAACGTGCTCTTTACCCTGTGGGTGAAAAAATACCATCCTTCTGAGTTGATGAAAATGGGACCTTGAAAGAGACAGTTCTTTGTGGATAGAAGGACATGACCTGGAGTGTGGGTGTCATCGTAAAGATTGTAGGGGGGCGGCAAAGGAGGCGGAGCTCACATGGGAAGTCAGCTCTGTGAGGGGTGGTCTTCCAGTCTCTGACCTCCAGTGGACTCACCGGTGACCTTGCTCTCTGGGAAGGTTTTAGTGAATTCTAATGTTTTCATAGGTGTCCTTGGTAATGGAGCCTTATATGTTCTCAATAAAAATTTTTATTGTTTCAAAAACATTTAAATTTCAAAAAAATTTTACACATGAATACATTCTCATAGTATAAGATTAAACTGATACAGAGGTACAGGAGCAAGATGTGAATGGGCCCTTTCAGGCCCATTGCCAGCTGCCTCCCTGGATGGAATGCCTTTCAGTGGTCTGCACGCCCTCCCCTGTCCTGTCTCTTGCCTCTGTGTCTATAGTGCTGGGTAAACAGCTTACAGACCACACAGACTTGTGCTTTCCGTATATTTTTTCTTAACTGAAATGGAATTGACCTATATTTAGCTAATAGGAAATCTGCTTTTTTCGCTTTATGTGTTTTCTACCTCATTATTTTGTCAAACCCATATCTTATTAAAATATAATACTGAGAAAAGCACAAAATCCCGAGGTCACTACTCAGTGGCCCTTCACAAAAGGAACACACTTGTGTACACGGCAGTCACATCAGGAAGCAGTGTAGCACCAGCGCCCTGGGAAGCCCTTGTGCCCCTTTTCAGTCACTACTCCCCCCCTCACCCCCCAGGGCTCTGTGTAATTCCACAGTGTGGATGTATAATAATGCATTTAACCACACAGTTTTATTGGTTTCTTTTGACTGTAAAGAACGTTTCCTGTAATATTTTGAGGTCCCCACCAGCTTAGTAATTCACTGCTGGCTCAGTGTACAGGGAACTTAGATTTTAGTAATAAGTGGTAAATTTTCTTTAAATTATTCTTACTCAGATAAACAGTGGGATACTATTAAATATTCTTCTCCGTTCTCACTGGCTTTAGTATCTTTCCATTTTTTTGACAAGAAGTAGGGTTTATTGGTGACGTGAGTGAGGAGGGGCAGCTCCAAGGCTCCCGTGAGTGCAGGGCCTGCCATGTGTACAGGGCGCCACAGATTAGGGGTGTATTTGACTGCACAGCCATCGGGGAGGAGCTGCTTTTCAGCCACCAAGTCTTCAAATTCATCTCTATTACACTTAGTAAATCCACGCTTCTTGGAGATGTGGATCTTCTGGCAGCCAGGGAACTTGAACTTGGCTCCATGTTGGGCCTCAGTCACATGCTCCTTGTTCTGCAGCTTGGTGCAGATGGATATGATGACTTGGCTGGCCACTGGGCCCTGGGGCTTTCCAAAGGCACCTCGCAGGGCTGTCTGGAGCCTAGACTGGGGACAGCATGAGGTCAGACATGAATGTCCACTGGAGAGGACCGTCTCCCAGGTCCCCTCGGGCAGCCCAGACAAGCACCTGGTGCCTCCACTGCCCAGGAGGCTGCTGTTTGCAGCCAAAGCACACTGGGCTTTACTAGTTTTCTTACTTGAACTGAGAGTTCCAAACTTCTTCCCAAACTAGATCCGTGTTGCTGCTTCTCTGGGAGCTCTGATCCGTGTTCCCTCCCACACAGAGGGCCCAGCTGAACTGCAGGACGTGTCTAGCCACAGCTGTCGTGGGTCTAAGGGTACCTTCCTGATGACCAGTGCTGGCTCTTTTGCCCCACCCCAGGATCTCACCACTGAGCTGAGCTGGGAGCTAACCATTCCCCCGGAGGTGCAGCGCATCGTCCAGGTGAAGGGGAAGCGCAGCAGCGAGCACGTTCACTCGCAGGGCCGAGTGATGGGGGACCGAAGCGTGCTCTACAAGGTACGGCCAGCTGTCTGGCATAGCGCACAGAAGCACGGGGTGTAATTCTGGCTTTGGGATTTGGTGGCTGTGGGTCCTTGAGTGAGTCATTTAATCCCTTTGAGCCTTAATTTACTGTCTGTGAAATGGGCATCATATGCCCTTCTCCTGGGATTTTTGTGATGATTACATGAGGCACTCATGCTTAGCATAGTGCCAGGCATATATGGCCATTACCCAGTAGATGTTAGCTGTTATTTTTAGTGGTAGTGCAGATAGACCTTTCTGGGGTTAAACCTTAGTCGATCCATCAGAAACTCCATCTCTGTGATCCAACACTCTAGTTAGTGGTGAGGGCAGGGAGACGGAGAGGTGACTAGTCGGTTGCAGAGCTATCCTATGAGGGAATGTAATCACTGTGGTGACAAACGTGAATTACAGCCTCTGGCAGAGGAGAGACTGAGTTGGAGGAGGAGGCGTAATAGCACAGGGCGACGCGACCAAGGAACTAGACAGGGCAGCTGCTTCAGTAAGCGTGAGGCGGAGCGCAAGCCTCCAGTTGGACGGTCCAGGTTCATACTTGCTGTTTATCGTGGGTAACTTGCTTAGGCTTCTTGAACTTCCCTTTTTTTTTTTTTTTTTTAATTTGGCCACGCCACGCAGCTTGTGGGACCTTAGTTCCCTGACCAGGGATTGAACCGGCGCCCTTGGCAGTGAAAGCGCGGAGTCTTAACCACTGGACCGCCAGGGAATTCCCAGGAGTAGGGCTTTTTGGATTCATATTTGTTGTGGAGATTTTTTGCCTGCTTTGCTGAGACTAGGCTATAGGGGGCCGAGGAGGGGAGCAGGCAGACAGGCTACTGTGATAATCCAGGTGAGGTGATGGTGGCTTCAACTGAGTTGGTTGGGGGAGGTGAGATGGGATCAGATTCTGGATACTTTTGAAGGTAGAACCAATAGGATATGCTGATGGACGGGGCGTTGGTGTCTGTGTTAGAGAGAAAGGAGTAAAGGACGACTCAGAGGTCCCAGGTATAAGACACACTTGGGAGGCCTTATGGGGAACAGGTTTTATCAGGGGTAGAACAGGAGTTCAGTTTGGGGCATGTCAAGTTTGAGATGAGGCACCTAAGAAGTGATACTGATACGGTGGTCCGTTAATCAAGTCTGGAGTTCAGGGAGAGGTCTGGCTTGGATATGTAAACTCAGGCGATGCCAGCACCTGTAGATGGTGTGAAAGCCACTAGATTGGCTGTGATCACCATGAGAGGAAGTGTAGACAGAAACATCCAGAGACTGGGGAGTGGAGGAGGGACCCACAGAGGGGGCTGAGAACGAGTGGCCGAGACAGGCAGAAGGAAAACCAGGGCACGGGTGTCCTGGATGCCAGGTAGAGAAGGTGTCTCAAGAAGGGAGTGATCACCTATGTCATCTGGTACTAGTTGCTCAAGTCAGATGAGAACTGAGACCCGTCCATTGGTGTGGTGGTAGGAGGGCACTGGTGGAGAGTCATCGTGTTGCTGGACACATGTCCTTCCATCACTGAGTGGGCCGGCCCGGGTTGTATCTTGAGTTACCGTTTGCTTGCCTGTGACTTGAGCAAGTTGCTTAACTACTTTAAGGCATTTCATCTGTGAAACGTGGATAGTGACAGCTATTTGCAGGGTTGTTTACGGGATTCAATGAAATGATGGAGGCAAAGCCCCTGGCATGGCCCCCAGCCTCCAGCAGACACTGAACGAGTGCAGAGATGAGGCCCTCTAAACAGAAAGCTCTTCCAACCAGAAAACCCTCTTCCTCTGTCAGCCGGAGAGCTCTGGGCCTGCCTCCCCGCCGCTCATGATACACCGCTGTGGTTCTGAAGGAGCTTTCCTCTCCGTCTCCCCAGAGCCTGAACCCCAACCTGCTGGCTGTGGTGACAGAGAGCACAGATGTTCACCACGAGCGCACCTTCATCGGCACCTTCCTTGTGGACGGCGTCACCGGGCGCATCATCCACTCCTCCGTGCAGAGGAAGGCCAAGGGCCCCGTCCATATCGTGCACTCGGAGAACTGGGTGGTGGTAAGGCGTGACGCGTGAACTCAGGGCACCCCCAGGGGCCTGACGTAGCATAAGAGTACGTGGCTGGTCTCCCTGCAGCCTAAATCCTTTCCTTGCCTATTGTTCCAGAAACCAGTTGCTACTTTGCATTTTCATAGAATTCAAAACTCCTGGCTGGCAGCAGTGGGTACTGGGTAGGGAGTTGGGCTCAGGAATCAGACTGCCTGTTCTTCCATTTCCTGACTGTGCAACCTTGAACTAGTTACTTAAGCTTTCTGTGTTGTATTATGTATGAAATAGGGGTAACAACAGTCACCTCTATTTGAGTTTAGAACAATGCCTGGCATGTAGTAAGCGCTTAGATGTTAGCTATTATTCTTCTGACTTCTAAGAATCTTGAGAATTCCTTTGTCTTGTGGTGAACTTGGATAGTCTAGGTACAGCTACCCTGAAAGGTTAGTAAACTTGGTAGCTGGAAGGAAGCTAGGGTGCTGGTTGTTTCTTTCCTTCCTGGACGTGCCTTTGCACGTACATTCCCCTTCCCAGCTGAACCAGCAGCTGAGCCCTAAGCAGTCCCCTCCTCTTCTCTCCGCAGTACCAGTACTGGAACACCAAGGCCCGGCGCAACGAGTTCACCGCGCTGGAGCTCTATGAGGGCACCGAGCAGTACAACGCCACGGCCTTCAGCTCCCTGGACCGCCCGCAGCTGCCCCAGGTCCTCCAGCAGTCCTACATCTTCCCCTCCGCCATCAGCGCCATGGAGGCCACCATCACCGAGCGGGGCATCACCAGCCGACACCTGCTCAGTGAGTGACCGGGTCCCTTCAGGCAGCCGCACTGAAGGACGGAGCCGGGATCAGTGAGGAGGGCTTTATATCAGCAGAAAAAGTTCCCTAGTCTGGCTTTGCCATCCATAAAAGAGCTGACACATCCCTCCTCGTCCTTGTTTCTTATGAACCACTTTCATGTCTCTGTTCTGTTTTCACCTCGTTTGGAAAGTTGAACCCTGATACCATACCCAACAGGTAGCCTGTGCAGATGGGCTGCAGAAACTGGCAAGGTGTAGGGTCTCATCTTCATGTAGTTCAAGTTCAGGACTCAACTAGACAGGTCTCTCTAGTTGATTTTACCAAAGACATTTGGGACTGTCAGATTTGACAGGCACTTGGTATTACTATTTTACCCTCAAATATGAGGAAGACAGACTGCTTGGTAATTTCCCGAGTTTAATTCCCACCATTCCTGAAACCGCTGGGATCTCATGTTGCCTGGTCCTCCGGCTGCCCTCCCCCCACCCCCCTCCCCCACCAGCATCACTGCTTCAGCCAACCATAGGCTTCTGTTTGGCTGACAGTGAGGAGACCTGCTTAGCTGGGGCAGGTATTGCTGGAGGAAAGGAGGAGGATGAAGAGATCCAAGTGGGCTTCCATGCTCTTCTCTGTCATCATTACCCAGTTCTTGAATCTAGCTCTTTATTATCTGATGTCTCAAGATGATATGTGAAGAAACTAGTATCTTCAAAAGTGGGAACCTTCATTCAGACCCAGGTGTATTGATTGGATTATTGTTTTTGGCCATTTAAGGGAGCCTCGGTGACCCATTTTTTTGGTTTTAAACTCTATTTCAGTTTCTGTGATAAGGACATTTTTGAAAGTAGCCCTAATTGGGGATCAGGTCAGTGTGAACACTCACTTCTGTTGACTTGTTTCTGTGTTTGTAGTTGGGCTGCCTTCCGGAGCAATTCTTTCCCTGCCTAAGGCCTTGCTGGATCCCCGCCGGCCCGAGATCCCAACAGAACAGAGCAGGTGAGACCCTTGTGGGTAGTGCTGAAGTCTGTGACCTTAAGGAACTTAGCATCTTGATTACGTTTGGTCCTTGGTCTGCTGTGCACTGTCCTGCCCTGCTGGGGATGTGTCAGTGAACACATCTGCCCTCATGGAGCTTGCATTCCAGTGGGGGCGACGAGGTGGATAATAAATAAGATAAACAAGTGAAATAATTCTGTATTAGCGTGCTTGTAAACGGCAAGGAAAAAAGAACTAAGAAGGGGTGGGGTCTAGGAAGGGTGTGGAGGGGTGCAACTTGAGAGGGTGGCCTGGGAAAGCCCCTCAGAAAAGGTGACTTTTGAGAAAAGACTTGAAGGAGGTAAGAAGCTGGCCTTGTGGATGTCGAAGGAGAATGTTCTAGGCAGAGGGAACAGCTGTCACAAGTGCCCTGAGATCATGTCTGGTGAGTTACAGGGAGGGCTGGAGGCCACTGCGGCTAGAGCAGCCAATGGTGGGGACACTGGGAAATGAGGTGAGGGAGGTGCTGGGGCCTGGGTCACATGGGAAGCCAATTGCTGTCGGTGTTAGTTTGCTTTCTTTTTTTTTTTGGCTGTGTTGGGTCTTCGTTGCTGCACGCGAGCTTTTTCTAGTTGCGGTGAGTGGGGGTTACTCTTCGATATGGTGCGTGGGCTTCTCTTGTTGCGGAGCGCGGGCTCTAGAGCTCAGGCTCAGCAGTTGTGGCGCACGGGTTTAGTTGCTCCGCAGCATGTGGGATCTACCTGGACCAGGGCTCCAACCCATGTCCCCTGCATTGGCAGGCGGGTTCTTAACCACTGCGCCACCAAGGAAGTCCTAGTTTTCATTTTTGTGTTTCCAGCCATCATCTCTGCGTATTTTCTTGCTTCCATCCCGAACTCTCTTCCCTGAGGGGTGTGAGGAGCTGTGGGCAGTGTGAGGAGGCAGTAGATGTGTCTTTGCACGCAGCGAAGGGAGGATGGTTTGGAGCGGGCGGAGGTTAAAGCTGGTGGACTGAGGCACTCTGGAGTGAAGAGCAGGAACTGGCCTAGTGGCTTGATGTTTTGTTTTTAAAATGGCCCTTTCTTCCTCTAATGTGAAATACCGGTCATCTGTGGTTTCGTTTTTTTTAGATTCAGAACAAGGTAGGAATCCAGATCTGTCTTACTCTCCATACAGCTTTCTTTGTTGCAGCCCTTCCTAACATTCCCTGATGCACATAGACCTTGGAGGAAGATATGAGGCTGATACGTGGCCTGGAAACCTCCCAGGGCTCAGGGCAGCCAGGAGATCCCCTTACAGCAGTTTTGAATGCCGGTCCTGGTTGATGTTTTGCAGAGAGGAGAACCTGATCCCGTATTCTCCAGACGTACAGATCCACGCAGAGCG